ATTCATGACCCAGGCCCAACACCCATCCTTTGGGATGACTTCAGTGACAAGTAACCTGAATTAAGTGTTCTCCCTTTTTGACTGCCTGCTTCAATTATCATCTGTGATAGCCAATTCTGCAGTCCTGCTCCTGCCATGAAATAGGGGTTCCGCAGTGAGCGGCACTGTGCTCCTGATATAGAGGACCTGTATAAGTAACGTTCAGGCTCAACTCAGTAATTACTGCGAACGCCACTTATCATTTTATTCATTAATAAATTAACTTTCAGTGCAAAATCTGCAGGGATTTGTGTCTTCCAGACTTACATTTCCTTCCCATTTTGCCTTTAATGAATTCAACATAACCACCTCCCTCTGTGCATTTAATTACTGTGCTGATTGCTTACTATGTATGCTACATGATGTGGAAAAAATACAAAAGTTAAAAAGAAAGCGCTCTCCCTGACCTCCCTGGGGAGACAAAGCAAAACCCATAAAAATTAGGAAAACACATTAAACTATGTGTGACACGTGCCAGGCGAGTGGTCCGGATAATGACACTGCCCTGTTGGCTCAGTGGTGGGACATTATGCTCACTGGGCTGAGCCTAGACCAGAGGGGTCACAGTACCCCAAATTACCACTGTCTCTGTTGATCCCAACTACATTCCCTTCCGCTTATGTCCTTCTGTTTGTATTTTCTAAGTTTCACTTTGTTTTGTTCACTTCTCCCTTACTTTCTATGAAGCTGAGTTCATTTTTATTTCTGTAAATGTCTACCAGTATAGCCACTACATGCTTTATTTAAATTGCTTCTGATGTACTTCTGAACAAGTTTCCAGATTTTTCAAAAGATACAAAGGAGATTTTCTTGTGTGAAGATTACAAAAGCATGCACAAATCATTTAGAAAAGTGTCCAATTGTGAAAGTTGTCATTCTAAACATATGTGTTGTGTCCGGCTGTGCATGAGACCATGGGTTCCAGCTGTGCAGGGAAGCTGTGCTCCCTCAGGACCCAGGGGCCCGGCATTGGTAGAAAGTGTGGGGGCCCATAGGAGCCACTCTCCACAGCCTTGGGAGACAGACGGGAAATCACGGGAATGCTGACATTCATGGACCTTCATACAACTTTTAAAGACATTTCATGTATAAAAAATTTACCAGAGTGCATTATGAGAAGAAGAAGTTTGCTTTAGGACATAATAATACTATTTACAGTATAACTAGATGAACGTTTTGGACATCTTAAGGTGTTATGCTGTTAGAAAATATAAGCAGGTTCCATCCAGGTATGTTCGTGCACGTCTTCAATCTGAGCACTCAGAAGGCTGAGGCAGGAGGACTGACATGAGTTTGAGGCCAGTCTGGGATACATAGGGAGAGCCTGTCTCACCCCCTGAAAATATGAACAGGTTCCAAAATGTTGGATACTTTCAGAGTTCTCTACCAGATTGCTAAGATATTCCAAGGAAGTGTAAGGCTATAACTTTTCATAGTTTCAAGTTAGACTTTACCTATGATTTCTGTCTCAAGAATGTCTCGTTTCCCCCCTTCAAAACAAATATTTAGTTGGATCTCTAACAGGATGCTGTATTAATTTATGGCACCAGAAGAACATAAATAATTGAACTTTATATTTGTATTTTTCTTACTTTATTTATGTTCTATTTGATATATGAATATGTGTTGCCCATATACATTATACATTAAACATATATATTTAAATATATACTTGTGCATATACATACAATCAGATAAATATATATTGGACAATGTCATCCAAAATTGTCATTGTTTTTTTATTAGGCCATGTTTGATTATAAATAATAGGAAGCCTGATTAACACTAAGTTAAACATAATATACCATTTTAACCAACAGCATCTACCCAACAAAGTGTAGGTAACTGTGCAGGTAGTTAACCTGGCAGCCTAGTGATTTCCATCATTACTTTCTTGCGCACATCTTTGACATGATGGATTTCAAGAGTGAATGTTCATCTCATGTCACATGTATTTTACCCTACTCAAAACTTTATCTTTTTGAGCATTACTAATTGATCCTGTATAGTTATGAAAACTGTCATATTTCAAATTTACCCATATTCATACTTTATCTAGATCTAGTGGGGTAAACCCAATATCCTGTGTTTGTTTACTACATTGTTATTTTAAATAACAGCTGATACCTTGTGAGAAATAAAGGTGCACATCTTAAATTAGTTTACGATTCTCAAGCTGTAGAAATAGAACATCTGAGTACTTGTCTGAGCTCTTATTGTTTTGCTATCCTACCTGGACTTTAGCAGAGCCTTTTCCTTGGTTCTGGATTTTCTGAGCTGTGGTGAGAGATGAAGCACGGTGAGAAAGGAGTTGGTAAAGCAGGCATCAGCCGTAGGAGACAGCAGTTCTCACATGGAAATTAATTGATTGTAATTGCTTTGCCATTGTACTGCACTTGGAGCGCGCAGCCCGTTAAAACCACTGATTATAAAATAAGGATCTGACTTTTTATGCTGTAGGTAATGTTAATGGAAAGCTGTTCCTAAAGGAATGATCAGTGAATATCAATAAATGGAAATTAAGAAATTAAAAGAAAAGTTAACTAAGTGATCATGAGCTATATACTTAAGCAGTCAGAGTAGCAGTCAATGGTGTAGTGTTTCATATTGAAAATTAAACACTTGAATATTAAACACCCTATAAAAAGAGACTGACTCCCTGTAGCTCTTGATCATAGCAGATATTCACAGTACAGATCTTCTGGAAAATGGGACATGTGTCCATTCTTCATAGCCTTTACTTTTTGTGCAAGAACTAATAGGCAAATATTTTGAAATGGAAAAAAAAAATATTCCCGTTGTAACACCAGGAAAGAGGACACAAAGGTCATTTTTCTCAACACTGGTCCTGTGTAAATGAGTTGTGCGAGGGTGAGAGGCTATGTGAATCTGAAGGCATTGGTTTTAGGATGCTCTTCAATATCAAAACCTGTGCAAAAACACTAGACTGGATGTGAAGGTATATCTAATTTACCGCTGTGTGACACAGAGTAATTGTTAGTAAGATTGCACTGAGGACTTTAATGTCATTTCTTCTATCTGCAGCACTTAAGTGGTTGGTAGTGTTAGAGAGCTCAGTTTCCCAGATGATATTTCCACTGAGCACTGGGTCGAATGACACCTAATGGCTGTCTCTGCTTGGGGAGCTCTTAGGATGCATAATCTTGGAAGCAAACTGCTAGGATGCTGAATGCATGGTGTGAACAATGAGAGAACCCACAGTGGCCCCACAGAGATGTACTCTGAGCGAGGGAGGATTCCTGGGTGTTTTCCTGCAAAGGGTGGAGGAAAAGAGGTGGCCAGGAAGAGCAGTGGGGCAAACGCTGACATGTGCAAGACGTGCAGTCACAGTTAGAAATGGCATTGTGTGTTTCGAGTATAAGCCGAGGAGACCCCGGATGGCCAAGGGTCAGAAGACTCATGCCGCTCTTTGTTCCTTCATGACTTTGCTTCATTCTCACAGCAGAGACTTTCCATATTTTACCAAAGCTTCAATCATTTACTTTCATTTAATCACTTTTGTTTGGACCTGGGGATTGAACCCAGGGCTTCCCCAGTGCCAAGCTTCACTGTCCCATGGTGCCACCCCAGCCCCAGGGAGGCTCCCCTGACAGTGAGCTTCCTTATACACTGCTGTCCTCCTATGTGTAGGGACAGTGAGCAGGAACAAGCTCACTGTGACTTTAGTTACTGAGCTGGATTCATGAAGCGCCCTGTTCAATATTATCACCAATCTAGATCCATTAAAGCAAAATTAAAGAGCTTAAATGCTAAATAATTTATTGGACATCAAATTTTTAAATATATATATATTTTTTTCTTGACAGTTGCAGTAAAATTGGTATTACTACTATGGTTACCTCAAACTTCATAACTTGAAAAATGTCCGTGTGTGGAAATGGAGCCTGTTTCCTGTAGGTAGCACATGCTTTTGGTTAGATGCATAATTGAGCAGCAGGTAGAGATGTATAGCTTAATTAAAAATGTAAGTAATTATGATTTTAAAAATACATGTTTAGGAGAATGCTAAAAAATGACCTTAATTTGGTCCTGTTAAATATTTACCGGAAACATTCTTCACATATAAGTATCTGTTTCAGAATTTAGAACATTTGCATTTTAATTACACAATAAAAGGGGAAAGAGAAAGAATAATTGACTTAGCTATTAGCCAATTACAGCTGTAACTAAAAAAATAACCCCAAATTGGCAATGGTTTGCACAGAAGATGCATAGTATACACTGATCAGATGTTTAATGACATTTGACAACAATAAAGGGAAGGAATATTGTTTCAGTCCTTCTTACAGCATATTTATTAGAAGTGAAATAATTGAAAGCAGATTTGGGGTGCTTGCATAAGGATCAGTCAGCTACTGTGTTAATATGTCCTCAAATGGGGCTTCTCTCGAGTGACTCCAAATGGGAAAAATCTAATGAGAAAAGACCACTGTCCCTTGTTCACCTCAGGGGGTTGCCCCACAGTACCTGCCTCCTTGTGTGACACGGTGCAGCGTTCGCATCGCAGATGCCCTGGCTTCGGTATGTTTCACATCTTCTCCAGATTACTTAGCTACATAGTTAAACGCAGACGCCATATAAATAGCTACATGGTGTACTGCAATGTGTAGGAGACAATGACGCAAAAATAGTGTGTATGTGTGCAGGAGGTGCAATTCCATTTTTTTTTTTTTCTTGCCAAACATTTTCATCCGTGGTTGGTTGAATTCCAGGGTGCAGAGGCTGTGGGATGTAGAGGAGTGGAGATCACTCAGGTGAATGCGGTGGGTGTCACCAGTGTCCTGCTCAGTGCCAGGGAAGGTCTGTCTGGTCTGTCTCCAGTTCCATCTGTCGGAGTCATAACCCGTGCACAGGACTGCATGCACACACGGGGGCAGTGACAGGAATGATTGTGTCGCCACAGCTGCTGACGGCGTTTCCCTCTGTGTTCTCCTCACCAGATACGACAACATATTCCACCCAGCGATCTGAGCACTTCAAGCCCTGCCGAGACAAGGACCTGGCCTACTGTCTCAACGATGGCGAGTGCTTTGTGATTGAGACCCTGACGGGATCCCATAAACACTGTCGGTAAGTCACTGCCGCTGCTGGTGGCCAGGGTGGGCCTTGGCAAGGACTCGAGGTGCAGCCGGGGAAGACCATGTACGTGAGATATTGGCAGTACTGCTGACTCAGGGTAGAACGTTGAGGAAGAAACAATGGAAACACAGTGAGTGAGGTTTGAGTACTGGATCAAGGTACATGTACCTGTATAGATACCAGCTTAATGCACATGATTATTTGGGATATCTGTGTCATGGCAGGGGGCTCAGGCTCACATCCTTGCAAGTCTAAGGACCTCAGCAAGAAAACTGAGCTGCTCATCTTAGTTCTAGAATCTCGACGTTTGGTGAGAGCCACAGCCACAGAGAAGATAACTGTGGCCAGCAAGAACTGCATTTTATTTTGATTCTGCCTTCTTTTATTAATGTCAGTCCTTTTCCGAAATACATCTGATGATGAGACAGACACTTGAGCAAGATGTTGTAAATGAAACCAGAGTCCTGCTACAGTCTACTAGAGAACTACTTAAAGACATTTCCCAGTAGAGGTTAGGAAGGTGTTTAATTGGGTTTTAGAGACATACATTTATGTGACTGCTGAACATAAAAGCGAGTGGAGATAAATAGTGCACTAGTAGATGCTGAAGCTTTGAGGCTCAACAGAAGAATCAAATTAGTATTTGAAAAATATTTCCCACCAACCTTTTATTTCCTGCACTACGCTGATAATTTGTTTTTCCTTGCACTTGTGCATGCTTCAGTGATCGTATCTACCCACACCCCTTTCCTGCTCTTTCTTTATCCTTCTCATGTGACACAATTATTAAATTAATTATTCTGAATAATGAAGTCTGGGAAATTATGGATTTTTTCCCTCTCTATTGCTAATTTAAAACTTTATTTCCACATCGTTTTGTTAAGATGGTGCAGAGGAATGCATCTTATAGCTGTGGACTGAGAATGTGAGAGAAAATCCTACCTGCCTTCCTGGAAGAGCAATCTCAGTCTGTCAGATGGACATGTGGCTTGGGGGGGTGGGCAGTAGCGTGGGCTAGGACTGATGAATGACAGTGGCTGTCTCTGTAAAGGTACCACAGGTACTGTGCTGAAGCGAAAAGAACTGGGACCTTTTCTCACTTTGGCATGCACCTTTCACTTTGGCAGTGCCATTTCTTGGACACAAATAGAGAATTTTCTGTGCCTTCCAATCCTCTGTGGACCTGAGTTAGGGGTAAAAAGGAGTAAAGATCATTCTTCTCCACACTCCTCTTGCCATGTTGACTTTGTCAATGAAGATACAAGTGGGAAGCCCTGCAGTGACATTAATACCTCAAAGGAAAGGAAATGAGCTACTTTCCCAAAGCCTGGTGTGTGCCCAACATCTTGCAGGCACTTGTGCCATGTGAAAGTTGCCATTGTCACAAAGGGGACCATCCTGTGGAAGGAAGTGCTATAGAGTGGAACAGTTCTTTCCAGAGCTTCATGCTCTGGAAGCCTAGTCTGCCATGTGTCCATGTGGAGCTTAATCTCTAAGGAAGTTGGCCTGACCAGTGGAAGGTAACTAACATCATGGAAGTTCCTCTCATGAACACATGGAATCCTGGGAGTGACTGAGGTCAGATAGAGATGACTTTCTTCAAGGGCTAGAAATGCAGCCTGGATTCTACATCTATCTCTTATGTCCTTCTTCACACATGTGGTACTACTTCTCTTTCTGCTTCACTGCCGTAATATTCCATAGCCAGGAAGTATTTACCAGGATGCTGTTGCTGTGTTGTTTGGCACATCCAACTACAGAATAAAGAACCAAATCAGTCCTTTCATTTTACCAGTTATCTAGCCAGAGGTGCTTTCTTACAGCAACACAAAGCAGACTAAGAAAGTAGGTAATCAATTGTCTGAAGTCCAAACCTATTGAAGAAGTGGTGAGTTAGAAGTTTCAGCCAATCTAATGACAACCTTTGATGATTGTGTGTGTGTGTGTGTGTGAAGGGTCATATCAGGCTAAATAACAATATGTAAGTCATTTTAACTCATCTTACAAAAATGAGTATGCAGAAAAGAACAAAATCTTTTCATGGTCTTGTTAATTCTTTATTAGTTCATAGACATTATATCCTTGCTAATTCCTTATATTCCTTGGATATTCATTTGGTAGGGATGCTGTCAAACCATGTCAGACTATGTACCTTAATGGAAGGATTTTTTCTTTTTCCTCATAGTTCTGTAGATGAGAAGTCTAAAGTCAAGGTGGCAACAGGATTGGCTTCTTCTTCAGCCTCTCTCCTGTGCTCATTTATGGCTCTCTCCTCCCTGGATTTTGTATTTCCTCTGTACAAATTTCTTCTTACAAAACACAAATAATAATCAATGAGAACCCGCCCTCACAAACCTCATACCATTTACCATGGTAAAGATCTTTTCTCCAAATATGGTAACATTATGGGGTACTGAGGCTTTGTACTCTGACATAGGGTTTTGGTTTTAGAAATGTAATTCCATCAACTACAGTGGATCTCAGCTTCAGAAAAGGAGTCCTTTGCTTTCATGTGAATGTGTGTGCGTGTCTCATTTCTGCTGCACACGGACAGAGACATATCTAAAGTTTAGCTGGAACATTGTACATGGCTCATAACTTTGGCCATCTATATTCATATTTCTGGCATATTTCAGTTCAGACAACCTGTCATTTAACACAGAGTGACAACATAGCTAATCATGACAAAAGACCAGCCTAAGACAGAATTGGAATTCAAGTAGGTTAATAGATGCCTATAAATCTCCTATAGTGTGTATGAATAAATCACACATCACATGTGCCTGCTATTCATCTAGCAGGCTTTGCTATGAATAAAAGGCATACATTTGTTCCTGCATCAGCTACTTCTAAAAATTCCAACATAGTTATTAATAATGTGCCATTCTGTACAGCACTCTATTTAAGTAGCAAGTTTCATTCTCCTTTTCCCATTTGACACATGTTTGTTGAATACTTCCCATCGCCAAGATAGTGTTGAATAAATATACACAGAAGTGAATTTGAAAATTAAATGGCCCTGCACTTTGTAATATGTTTGAGGATGTGAAATAGCTCATCGTGAGGAAAAAAACAAGAAGAAGGCAGAGCACTTTAAGATGAACTGCCATATGCTACCAGGGACCTCTTTGTAACATATTAGTTACTGGATTATGTTTCAAATAATGTAAGACACCCTGTCATATATCAAAGAAGAAGTAAAAAGATGCATATATGTATCTAGGTTGTTACTTTTTACATGTCACAGGGGATTATAAATCAAAAGCTGAGAGAAATCACGATGACGTTTCCATGACTTGAAAAAAATATATACAGTCCTGTGACAAACTGCACCAAACATCTTTCCCTGTTGATTAAACAGACTGAGCTCTGACACCTATTCCAGTTTCGTAGTCAGCGAGGAACAGTGACAAACCTTCCAGTCTATTCATGATGGAGATCCTGAGGGAGCATGCACAAAACAAAATCATGTTAATTTCATGTAAAGACTTGGAAACCTGATGTTGTTCCCCTTGTTAATCTCTTATTTTGGGGTCTTTTCATATTTTTTAGGGTAGCATTTATTGGGACCGGGCTCAGTAGAATAAGCGCTTCCCTGGCAAGTGCAAGTGTCTGAGTTCAATCCCTTGTTCTGAAAAAAAAAAAAAAAAAAAAAAAAAAAATCAGAGCAGAAATTGGTGCAATGAAGACTAAGAAAACAATACAAAGAATCGGCATGAGTTCAATCCCTTGTTCAAGAAAAAAAAAAAAAAAAAAAAAAAAGCGTTTATAGTGTTGATAACAGTAAATTGCAAAAACAATTGAAGAAAAGTTTATGCAGATCCCCCAGGTACTAAAAATAACTTTTAAGAGAAATTTTTGAACTGATAAAAAGGAAAATTTGTCTTTATGATTATGATATGGTATAAAATCACAAAGTATTTAACAAACCTTATGCTAGAGTCAGGAGGCCTTGTTACATAGCTGTCTCTGGCCTTTTTCACTCATTGCTGTAACTGATCTCCGCGCTGCAAAGCGCAGACACTCTCTTCAAATTTCCCTGTTGGTCTGGGCCTGGAGCAAGGTACCAGAGTGGATTCATGAATCAGAGGAAAAGTGAGGGACTGATTGCTCAATAAACGCCTGACAACAGCTAAACCAAATGCAAGATGTATTTTTACCTTTCTCTCACACAAAAGAAAATGTATTAAAGGTAGTCAAAAGCTAATGTAATAAATAAATAATGCCTAAAGAAAACAGGAAATGAAAGAACATACACATTTGTACCAGCAGTTGAAAGGACCTGCTGAGCAAAGAGAAACAACAGAAGGAAAAGTATCAATATAACCTTGACAGATCACTGGCTTTTTCGTCTCAATAACATCAAAGAGAAAATAATACTAAAACAAAACCGGTGAGAAAACTGAACACAAATATATCAAAGAATTCTTAATATCCAGAAAAAGTCACATAGATCACTAAGGACAGGACAAAAATCAAATGGCAACAGGGAAACATCGAAAGGGGAAAAAGTAACTGTGCATACCCTAAAAAAGGACACTGGTTAATGTAGATAAACATGAAAGCCATTCCACTGTACAGAGAAATGCAGGTTCTGCTTTCAGGATATTGTATTGTGTGAGAGACGAAGGTGTGCTTTTCTTTAATTGCCTACTAAATGTCATTATTTTAAAACATTAATAATCAGTTTACTGAGGGTGCAGTGAAAACACATTTTCATATGCTCTTAATGGAGTGAACTTTGTTAAGGATAATCTGCACATTAGGGTTCACTATGTTTAAAAGGCTTTCTTTGCATTTGTGAAGCTAGCCTGTAGAAACATTTGAAGAATTGTTTGTAAAAATGTACACCCACATTTTGAATGGCAAAACCCCAAAATCCAAGTTTAACTTGGACTTGGAAATGTCTATTATGTCATCTTATTTATGAAAATCAATATTTATGCAAACACTAAAGATGAATGTATAATAGTTCGTGAATTCTGAACAGA